TTCCAGGAAGCCAATTTCTTCTCCATTCTTTCAACCACTAGATTCCAAATTTGAGAGGAAGTATATTTAGCTCCAAGAGGGAACCCCAAGTACTTGACCGGAAGATGGGCAGTTTGACAAGCCATAACTTCTGCACAAACTTCTAGATTTGTAACAAGACCTATAGGGATAATCTGAGATTTACTCAAATTAACCTTAAGGCCAGACACCACCTCAAACCAACTCAAAATTCCAGGCACCACCTCCAGTTGATTAGGGGAAGCATCAACAAAGCATAAGGTGTCATCAGCAAATTGATGAATATTGACTTTTTCTTTTCCCGGAGCAATTGCAAAGCCCTCCCAAAGCCCATTTTCAGCATCCTTCTTGCTAAAGAGAGATAAAATTTCCACGACACAAATGAAGAGTAGGGGAGAGAGAGGGTCACCTTGCCTCAAACCTCTTGAACTTCCAAAAAACCCCGTCGTTTGCCCGTTAATTAAGATGGAGAACTTAGGAGTCTTAACACAAACTCTGATCCAGTTTCTCCAAAGCTGCCCAAAATTCATTTTCTCTAAAACCAGATCCAAGTAGTGCCAGTTAATATGATCATAAGCTTTTTCAATATCCAGTTTACACAGAACACCTGGGGTCCCCTCTCTTCTTCTGGACTCCAACAGTTCATTAGCAATGAGAACAGAGTCAACCATCTGTCTACCCGGGATAAAAGCACTTTGGTTACAAGAGATAACACTGCCTAACACACACTTTCATTCTTTCAGCCAAAACCTTAGCCAAGATTTTGTAGAAACTGTGCAAGAGACTAATGGGCCTGAAGTCCTTTATATTGACAACCCCCTCAATTTTCGGAATAAGAGTGATGAAAGTTGTATTCAGACTTCTCTGAAAGGAGGCATTAGTGTGAAATGCCTGAAACACCTGCATCAGATCACTCCTCACAATATCCCAACATTTTAAATAGAATAGATTAGAGAACCCATCAGGACCCGGTGATTTATCATTTTCTTGCTTCTTTACTGCACCCTTAATTTCCTCTTCTGAGAATGGTCTCTCTAACCAGATTTTCTGCTCTTCATTTATCTGAACCCACTTCTCTTTGTAAAGGTTCTTATAGAAAGAAGTAGCTACAGATTTGACTTCAGAACTAGACTCACCACACCTGTCCTCCCACACCAGCTTGCTGATTGAAGAGAACCTAGCACGAGCATTTGCCATTTTGTGAAAGAACTTTGTATTTTTATCCCCCTCTTTAAGCCAAATGGATTTGGCTCTGTCTCCACTTCCTCTCTTCCTCAACTGCCATCTTATCATATCTGATTTTTACAATTGATCTCTTAGGTCTCAGATCTTCAGACAAGGGATCCGCCTCTTCAGCTCTGTCAATCTCTACAATGGTGCTCAACAAAGCCTTCTTATCAGTAACCCACTTCATATTCTTCTCCTTACTCCAATTTTTAGTTTACCCTTGACAGCCTATAATTTTGATGCCATGACATAAGAACTAGAGCCCTCCACTTGCAACTCATTCCACACAGAGCTGATTAAGGGGATAAGATTTTCCTCCTCAAACCAAGCATTTTCAAACTTAAACGGAGATTTGACTGTCTTACGGAGACCACAAACAAGCTGAATAGGGCTATGGTCGGACATCGGTCTAGGAAAGGTAAGCTGTCTGAAATCAGGAAAGAATTCATCCCAGTTTGAAGAAACCAAGAATCTGTCCAGCCTAACCAGGGTCGTGGAATAAACATATATCCCTACAACTTTGTGGGGTCTTTTGCATATTGGGGTGTTTTCAGAGCCTAGAACTTCATACTTGTGCTGTTTTTCTAGCAAACCAAGTGCTGTTAAAGTTTTTATGATTCCAGATTTATTTCTTCTTAGTGCAGGTTGTTTGTTATATCATAGGTGGTCGTGTTATGCCTCAAAAACAAAGCACAGTAATACTGTCAAACTTGGTCCTGTTCACTAGTGAGATTCACTCTTAGAAAACAAAGAGGAACAAATTCTTGGGTGATGTTTAGCATCAAACAGAGAAGTAGAATGCGAGGTCAATTGTTTTGGTGAGAGTTATAGCTAGAAAAACATAACTTCTGGTGTGAACCAACAGTTAACAGTTGATAAATAACTTGAAGAAAGTTCTTAGTGTTTACAAGAGAGTACAAAAATAAACTTGACTCAACTAATTTGTCTCAACTATATGGGGTTGACAACATGAATTCTGTTCCACCATTCAACTCTGTTTGGTGCCATACTCTAGTACAAAATATGTATGCTGTTTAATTTTCTGTAACTCTTTCTTTTTTGTTTATAACCTGCAACAACCATCAAAGGTATTTTATTGTTGTAAGGAAAAAATAAGTTTATCTGACAGCCCATGGAGACTTTATCATGTGAAATATTATAAAGTAATCTCCTCTCGTTAAAGCAATGAAAGGGTGACAATACATAATATGCCCAGTATCAACCACTACATAATACCAGAACATTACAAAAGAAAAGCAGTATGCAAAAAGAATCTCTTCCTCAAGCAAGGCCATCAGCAAAGGCATTAATGTACCTTGGAATCCACTTGAATAAGCTGTGGATTGTAGAAGCATTTGATTTCTTTTTAAAGTCAAGATATTGTGAATCTTGTGTTGAATTTCAAATAGGATTGGGAGGGAGGGAGGATAGGACCAACTAAATTTTGGTATGAACCAAAGAAGGGGTATTTCTTACAGAAGCTTGATGTTATGGTTATCTTCTCGAAAGTAGAGTGCAAAATCATGTATTTTGTATTTTTTTTTATGTATTTGTACTGTACATATTTGCATTTTTGCTCTTTTCAAACTGAGCCTTTAGTAGTGTATTGGTGTTACAGAAATGCTGAACGAGTGGAATAACAAGTCATTTTTGTGCTAGTTGGCACTGGCCTAAGACTTGTTATCTTATGTTGAGTTGGTCCATTGTATTGAAAGAGTAATGGATTATGCATAGACTACTAAGATAAGGATTTGTCCTTAACTTGAAAGCTATTTTAGGTCCTTTTTTTTGAGAGGTTCGGTCTCTTTTTTGTGTGTCGATACTTGCAATATTAGTAGAAGTTTAGTGTAAATTTTTGTATGCTCAAAAAAAAAAAAAACATCAGGCAGGGATTGAAATTCAATTTGAGAATGTATGTGATGTTGATAAAAAAATTGAGAATGTATGTGATTTTGCATGGAGAATAATATGATTTTGGTTTTCTTATTTGTATGCTTAAGAAATCTGTTCCTCATGCCTTATACAGATCTCTTGGTTACAATGATTCTAATTTGTTTGGTTATTGATTCAAGAAGGGAAATATGTTGTGTTTTATTTTATGATTTTGCTATCAGATCATGATCTCTGTATCATCTTTGCATCTGATTTTTCAAACTACATGTAATGGCTGACATTTGATTTCTTTTTGTGTTTATTTCTAAGCAATGAATTGATGACAAATGAATACCATGAAACTATAATGGTATCACTGATACTTCTGTTACTGTACAGGACTGTCTTGAATTGTTGAACAACCTCATTCGCAGCAATGCATCAAATCAGGTTAGCCTTCTTTGTTATTTCTTTAATCAGGAACAGATCAACACAAGTTTCATTAAATTTAAATATAGAAAAGTGAAGTACCCAGAGCAATTGCTAGACTAGGACAAACCAGCAGTTCCCAACAAGCAAGGATACAATGTGTATAGTTATGTAACCCCTTTGGGAGGACCCAGATTCAACTTGTCACTATTCAATGATGGTAACTGTACCTCTTGCATGTTTCAGATATTACTAAGGGAAACAATTGGTTTTGAGCCTATAATATCGATTTTGAAGCTTCGGAGTAGTGCCTACAGTTTTACCCAACAAAAGGTGAGGTACTCATGGAAAAGGTTTACTACTTTATTGGGTTGGTATAGTTTAAATGCAGTTAGATCTTCTATTGTTGGGTGACCAAATATATTCCGTCTTAAAACCTTACTGTTGAAGTTTTGTTGTGTCTAAAACCAAACACCATGCCAGTAGACAGTGAATCTTCTCAGTGCGTTAGAAACTATCACGTTGCTACTGATGGGAGGTCCAGATGTTGAACCTGGCAAAGATAACAATAGGCTGACTAACCAGACTGTTTTAGCTCAGGTTTGTCTTAAGCCCCCCATCTATGTTGAGACGTTTGGCTTAGAAAATGTCTCATTTATTGTCATCTTGTAAGAATTGCAGAAAAAAGTTTTGGACCATCTTCTAATGTTGGGAGTAGAGAACCAGTGGGTTGCAGTTGCTGTGCGTTGTTCGGTAAGATAAGCATTTCTTTTAGGATTTATTCCCTTGCCCTTCTTGTTTTCTCATAGTGATTGAAGGATGGAAAACATTTAAATAGAAAGAATACAAATGAAAGGGAGTACCTAAGGAGTTTAATGCCTGGTTTACAGAGTATGCCTCTCATGTAAATGAGGTAGTTTCTATCATATGATAAAAATAGAAGTTCCTTTCATGTCCTGTGGCAGCTAAAGTGGCTGCCTGAATGGTTTCTAATGCTTACTTGATGGAAAAATGGAAAAGAAAGAAAAAGCTAGCTGTTTGACAGTCTCTGTCTGCTACATCTTAAAACTTGCTCATATCAAAAGAATTAAGGTTCGGTTTGGAAGGAGTACAAATATAAATATGTAGAGTGCAAAACCTTGTATTTTGTATCTATTTGTACTGTACATGTTTGTATTTGTACTCTTTCCAAACTGAGCCAAAGAGAAAAAAAATCGAAGACTACTATTTTGGGGTAAATGTGAAATATATAGTGGATTATGTGCTGATGTGGACAGGAAGATTGTACTCATGGCTGATAGGCAGAGTCTGGTTCCCCATATTGGCCTACCACTAGAGCAATTCCCCCCGATGCCACAGCCTTGAAAGTCCGTACTGAAAGTGTAATGTAAGTAACAACTGAAGAGAGATGGTGACATTGTTTACAAAATCTCAGTTGTTATATACCACTAAAATTTGTATTTCTTCAGTTGTTATATACCATACATGTTCAATTTAATTCTAGTTGGTTGCCAAGTTATATTTTTTTTATTTGATGCATTACACAAAGTTCTGAATGATTGATCTTCCTGTTACTGATTTCTTACATTCAAGATCTAGTTTTTCACTTTTTCTTTCTTGGTTGATTTTTCTTCTTTACATTATTGTATTGTTTCATTAGATCTTTTACCTGGTATGGATCCAACAATATGGTCTATTGGGCATTTTTTTTTAAGATTTCATGATCCTTTTAGAACTTGATCTTCCTTCCAACCTATTTATCTTATTGGGTAAAATCTTCACTATCAGAACATTTAATTGTTTTTTGTTTTTACATCCTTATTTTTTTATTTAAATTTTGGCTATGATCATGGTTTCAACTGTCTTGTCTTTTTTCTTGACCCTAATTCTCTCTCTCTTCCTGTCGAACAACCTTTCTTTTTCCTATCTCTTATGTTTCAGTGGCTAATGTTCTTGAGGCTGAGTTAAAATGACACCCCCATTGCCAGCACCCTGTGGGTTCTCTTGAGATCTTAGGCTACCATCTTCAAAGCACAGAATAAAGGTGTTGGGGGGGTGGGGGGTGTCTTGGACACAAAGGAGGTTTGATTGCAAGGTATCCAAAAGATTCTTGTCTAGATCTGCAAAACTGAAGCCGTTAAAGGACTTATGACTTAGCATCCAGGAATTGATGAAGACCACTACATGTCCTCTCAGGTTTTCTAAGGATGTGCATTCGTTCTCAAATATTCTTTTGTTCCACTCTTCCCAAATGCATCACATTACTCTATGTGTTACCTCCTTCCAATAGAGGCTGCCTCTTTTTCCTACTTTTCTGCTCTGCCATTGAATAATAAAATTGCAAACAGAATTGGGGGGAACCCTGTAAAAGCTGCTATCTCTTATCACAAATCCTGAAAATATTGCCATAAACTACAAGCCACTTGGCAATTAATGAGGAGATGCCTAATGGATTCACCATCCTTAAGGCACAGAACACAACCATGAGAGGAAATGTATAGCCACCCTTTTCTTTTTTCTTGGATATGATCATAAGTGTTTATCTTGTCACAAGATGCTTCCCAATATAAAGAAAGCAATTGTGGTAGTGACCGGAGAGAGCCAGATACTTGTGTTTGGAAAGGAGTAGGAAGCAGAATCAGCTATCAGCCCCTTGGAGGTAGGATTTGGTCATGAAAATTCCATTAGGGGTGAGGGACCAAATTATTTTATCTGGGCGGGTAGGTGAGAGGTAGATGTCAGAAATTAGGGGAAGTTAGGGAGATCTCAGTCGAACTTCTGTGAGGGCTCTACAGAAATTAAAATTATAGTCTAGACCATGTCTGTCTCTAATGAGGGTTGACGATACCAAGGTGTGGGTAAGACACATAAAAAGGTTGAGCCCCCCCGAATCTAAGGAAGGAGGAGAAAGGAGGCCGCCTGAGGACTATATCTTTTCAAGGATTGGCCGAAGAGAACCTATTGAGATGTTGAGTTCTGCCCCTTCTCAATCTGCTACTCTCATATTTTCTGCGAATTACAGTAGCCCAAAGATAATTTTCAACATTCTTGAATTGCCATAACCACTTGCCTAGGAGAGCAGTATTCATCTCATTAATGTGACCCAACCTCAGTCCTCCCTCCTTGTTCTTGTGGACTTCCTTCCTACTAACCAAATGATCTCTCTTCTCTCCTGCACCATCCCAAAGAAAATCACTTTGAAGCTTCTCTGCCTGCTTTTTCACCTTGGTCGGCATCTTGAGCACTGAAAGCAGATATGTTGTGAGGTTTGGGTGTGTAGCCTTAATAAGTGTAAGCGGACCACCTTTAGAAGTGCAATTTTTCTTCCAATTAGCCAATCTTCTTTCACATTTTTCAATCACAAGATCCCAAAACCCGGCAGACTTTGGGTAGGTGACTCCCATGCAGCAATCTTCACCATCACAGTCTCTGATTGCAAGAATACCATATTTGTGTTTTGAACAAATATCTTGTACATTTTGATCTGTTGCTGATAAAAAACTTGCACATTTCTTAAATATTGTAGGGAGCTTTATGAGCATTTGAGCCACACATCCTTGATTTTGTTTTCCCCAAAGGGGAGAATGGACTGTTCATGGGAATAAAGATTACTTGGTTTTTCTTAAATTTTTTCTATCATGCTAACCCACTAGAATTAACTTGAAAGTGTATGATAAGTAATAACTGAAGAAGATTGTGATTTGTGACATTGTTTCATACAACAAATTTTCACTGTTTCAATTACTGATTGCAGGAGTGTTGTACATTATCCTGAACAAATATCTTGTGCATAATTTAGCTGCTCCAGAAAGTACTCTGTTACTTGTAATATTACTTTAGTGTCTATTTCTACTATGATACTAGTTTTGTCCCGCCATCCCTCATCTGACCAAAAAAAAAAAGAGAAAAAGAATAAGCAATAAAACTCTAAATTGATGCCAACTTTAGATATATTAACTGTTTCAGAGGTGAACATGACATTTAAGTTTTATATACTATTGCAGGCTCTTCGATGTATAGGTGATTTGATTAACCGGCATCCTCAAAACCTTGACGCTCTTGCCAGTAAAATGCTTGGAGAAGAACCACATACTGAGCCGGCCCTGAATTCAATTCTTCGTATAATTTTGCGAACATCTAGTGTGCAAGAGTTCATAGCAGCTGACTATGTTTTCAAGTGTTTCTGTGAGGTTTGTCTTTTAGTTCAAAATTGGAAATTGCAAGTTCAGTTAACTGTTCCTACATATGCACCAAGACTGTATTTCGGTGTTATAAACTCTCTATGGACCAATAAAAATAAGGGGAAAAGGAAAACAAAATCCTCCATGGTTGAACTATGTTGTTTTTGACACCTTTGGAAATAATCAGGAAGCATTGAGAATGTAAGCCTATCTGTTGGAAATTTGCTATGATACACAGGATACTTCTCCCATAGATTTTTACAGTGTTGGACAAATGTTGACACAAAACACATGTCAATGTGTGTTTTTAGTGACACAAGTTACTCAGGACAAGAAAACAAAGGGGAAAAGAGGCAAAATGAAACATGACAGTATCATAGACTAGCCCCCTGGAGAGATTGCATTAATGAGATCTGAAACTGTTGTCAGTGCCTAGGAACATGTACTAAGGTGTATGTGCAAGTGCAACTCAGATCATAAGGTAGAATAACTTTCTAGTATCCAGGACCTGTACCACTTAACAGATATAATGGAAGAACCCCATTCCCTACCTTGCTGGTTTCTCCCCCATTCCTTCTCCCTTCACCATTTCCTGCATTTACCCCAACTGTCATCCCCTTCTGTAAATTAATTTCCTCAACTTCAGCCAGTAAATTCTTTATAATTTCCAAAATTCTTTTATTTCTTATTGACCCCTTTTTTGTATCCTCTCCTAACTTCTGAACCCCCTAGCACATCTGCATAGTTGCTATTATTTCTTCTATGAATGGGTGAGAAAGCATCAAAGCTCTCTACCTTCACTGCTAGGGAAGTTTCAATTTATTCTGGACTGCAGTCTGACAGCCTCAAGACATGTCTATTGGAACATATATGATTACTTCTTTGTAAAATGTGCATAAATCTATCAATTTGTGTGGTAAGCCTTTGCTTTTCATTACTTGGTAACATGCAACATGTAGACATGCATGAAGGCTCTTGAGCAAGAGGAAGAACAAGAAGAGAGTTCAGAGAATTGGTGGCATCTTGGTTTCTGATCAGCCTTAATTGATATATAAAATTATATACGAGTGTTTAAAGATTACAAAAGTACAAGAATGCCCCTGGTGGGTGGAACATAAAGAATTAAAAGACATGCTAGCCCAGGACCATTCAGCCCAATAAGAAACAAAGAAATAAAAATGACACAGAACAAGATACAGCCCAGCTTAATAATAATTAAGCCTCACAACAATGTACAGGAATGCACATGTATGCTTAACACTGTGAGCTAGGTATGCATGCATACAAGTGCATATGCACGTAATAAGCTGAGTCCATGTTTCTGGATTTTGAAGGCTTTAAGTTTGAAATGGTAGAAATTATGCATATCTTGTTTATATTCTCTTAATTATGTGACTGTGTATGCATTTTGGAAACTGTCTGCCTATTTTAGAAATGCTGTTTTCACCATACTCTTGTTTATACCTTTCCCCCCAAAAAATTATGTAGTCAATTGTACGCTTGAAATCTTTTAAAGTTATAATCACACTCACTCTTTTATTAAGTTATGCCACTGTTTCAAGCAGAAAAATACTGATGGTCAAGCAATATTGGCATCCACAATGATTCCTCAACCACAGTCAATGATTCATGCTCCTCTAGAGGAAGATGTTAACATGTCATTTGGAAGGTGTGCTTATGTTTCAACTTAGTTCATAGTTTACTTCTTAATGTAAATGTACTTGCTTTGCTTCATAGGTTTTGAAATTTATTAATAACTTTCCTAGATTTTTGTGTTTTATGGCAGCATGCTTTTACGTGGTTTCACTTTGAGTGATACTGATGGGGACCTTGAGGTAAAGCAGAATTTTGAATCTTTTACTAGTCATTTGAAGGGAGAGGTTGAGCATTGGTACTAATAAGAGTTCTCTTGTCCAGTATGTCTCAGAATTTGACCTAGAATGATTAGGTTGCATCCTAACATTCTCTTGATGTATGTAATTTGGTACTAGTTATTTGTTTTTTTTTGGGTGAAAAATTAGGTTCTAGTTTGAAGTGTCCATTCTGCATCTGGAAAATGAAAATATTTCCAATTTACTTGGTTGGCAAATGCATCTAAATCGAAGATGTTTTCTCAAATCATCCTCTTGTACTTATTTCGTGCCCTCAAAGTTGCAGTTCATCATTGTGCATTGCATCAGTCATTGATCAGGAGCATGTAGAACATAAGTTGTAGAAATGTTTGCTCAGCTGCTAACTATTCATCTATTGTTCTTAATTTGCAGACTTGTTGCAGAGCTGCTAGTGTTCTTTGCCATATACTGAAGGACAATGCCCAGTGCAAGGAGCGGGTATGTCATTTCATTTTCCTTTCTTTTCCATAAAACAGGGAAGGATGGTTTAGGAAGTCATCAAGCATCTTAAACTGAGGGTCACATTGTTACTTAATGTTTCCAGAAAAATAAGACACACGAAAGAGCTCACCAGTTTTCGTTAATTTACCATCTTTCCTAGTTTCAGTTTGATCAGTTGGTAGACAATGCATATTGATGACATTACAGTTTGAAGTGATCATACATATGTGCTATGTAAGATATGCTCCTCTTGTATTAATATGTACTGGAATGTTGCAGGTCCTAAAAGTTGAGCTTGAAGCACCCCTGCCATCATTAGGTGCCCCTGAACCACTCATGCACCGAATAGTGAAGTACTTGGCTCTTGCCTCCACAAAAAATAAAGACGGTGACCACAAAAAATCAACTCTAATTGGAGATTCATATATCCAACCTGTTATCCTGCAACTGTTAGTCACCTGGCTGGCTGACTGCCCTAATGCGGTCTGCTCCTTTCTAGAGCTAAAGCCCCATCTCACTTACTTGCTTGAGTTGGTGTCAAACCCTTCTGTGACTGTGTGTGTAAGGGGTTTGGTTGCTGTGCTCTTGGGAGAGTGTGTTCTCTTCAATAAATCCAGTGATAACAACAAGGATGCTTTTTTGGTGGTCGATGCCATTAGCCAGAAGGTTGGGCTTACCTCATACTTCTTAAAGTTTGATGAGATGCAGAAAAGCTTTCTTTTTGTGTCTGCAAAGCCTGCCCAACAGCGTAAGCCTCTGACAAGATCTAATGCTGCTAGCATGGCAGAGGTTGAAGATAGTGACACAAATGATGGAAGTGATGAGAATCATAATGTACATCCAGTTCTTATGTCATTGTTTGATGCCCAATTTGTTAGTTTTGTTAATAGGCTGGAGGCAGATATTAGAGAAAATATTGTTGAAATATACAGTCATCCAAAGAACAGGGTGGCAGTTGTGCCAGCAGAATTGGAACAAAAGGGTGGGGAAAGTGATGGAGACTACATAAAACGTCTTAAGTCATTTATTGAGAAGCAGTGCAGAGAGATTCAGGTACCTTTTAATTTGTTTATATCTTGTTTTCTCTAATAATTATTTTGCTGCGAATGTTTCTATATATCCTAACTTGTGAAATGTTTGGGCACTCGATTTTTGTAAGGATCTTCTTGGTCGTAATGCTATTTTGGCTGAAGATTTGGTCAAGTCTAGTGGAGGTGGTGCTCCTGGGTCTGATCAGACAACTTCAGGTGGAGGCCGGGAAAGAGTTCAGACTGAAACCCTCCGTAGGGATCTCCAAGAAGCAATGCAACGGATAGAGATGCTCAAATCGGAAAAAACGAAAATTGAAGCTGATGCATTCATGTACCACAATTTAGCTGGTAAACTGGAGTCTGATCTGAAAAGCTTATCAGATGCTTACAATAGTCTTGAACAGGCCAACTTCCGGCTGGAATCAGAAGTGAAGGCTCTGAAAATAGGAGGGGGAAAACCCTACCCGGATATTGAAGCTGTGAAGGCTGAGGCAAGGGAAGAAGCTCAGAAAGAGAGTGAAGCAGAACTGAATGATCTGCTCGTTTGTCTTGGACAAGAGCAAAGCAAAGTTGAGAAACTGTCTGCAAGGCTGATCGAATTAGGGGAGGATGTGGACGTTCTCCTAGAAGGGATAGGGGATGATGGTGAGCTTCCAGATGATGGTGAAGACGAGGACTGACTGCTTGTAATTGTAATGTTGTCTTTCAGGCTATGTTCAACTTGTACAGTTATGCGTGCCATATTGCCTTTGGTATATCGCAATAACACTCTAAAATACTGGATAAATATTTATTATTTAATTTATTTTCTCTTATTTAGTGGCACTTGATGAAGAATGACGGACCTGGGGAAATATCCTCCTAGGCTCCTATCAGATAGCTCTGCTCCTCTTATTGCCCCATTTACTCTAGTTGTTCATACGTTCATCAAATATGTTGAATCCAATGCTAACCTGACGGTCGAGGTTAGTAGGTACTAGGTAGGGCTGCTGCAAATGTCTGTATTCTGTAATTAAAACTAAAAGCTGAAGGAAAGCAAAGTGGCTACTTTAGTCAAGGCCCTCGAATCAGTGTCATGGCTTTCTAAATGGGGTCATTAGCTACTAACCATGCATTTTAAATGGGGGAGGTTGGAATTGGACATGTTATTACCACCATGGTTCAAAATATCGATACAGTCGATATGCCAGTAAGGGCGTATAAATACGGTATCGCACTTTGTTTTTCTTTTCAGCTTAGTTCAGGGGGTTGATTTAAGGCTCATCTACCCCCTGAACTGGGTTATTCCCCAAAATATCCCTTAGAAAGGCATATTGGGAAGCTCCTGATATGATAAGTATCAGCCGATACCTATTGGAATTTCGAAGCTTGATTACAAGTTCACAACATTGCAAGAAACAATCCCACAGGAGAAGATACTTGGTCTCGGGTTTTACTTGCCTTTGGCATGCATATATCTTCCTCTCTACTATGTTTCATCTGAAAAAAACACGTAATCACGTATCATCTCAAAGCAATAATTTTTTTTTCTCTTCTCACACTGTTCGCAAGTCCCTTTTACCAAAAAAAAAAATCATACAAATATGGAAATATTCTCAATACGCGATGTAAAAGGCTGTGCGAATGATATGAACAGTCTTTGTGAGCACTAACGTCGATCTCGTAATTGTCTCTGACCCTATGGTATGAAGTCTTTGTAATTTACCCTCTTAATTAATATACGGCAATGGAGTCGCTAATCGACGGTGATTCGGCTGCAGCAGCAGCAGACGCAGCTATGGCTCCCACATCGATTCCTTCGTCTAGGCTGTCTCGTCTGGTGGAGTCATTGAAGCTGGAGCAAAAGTTCCAGAGGATGCGTTTCGAGTGTCTCAAGAAATCAACGAGAGCAAATTACCGGATCATCGAGAAAGAGAAGTCCACGGTAATCTGTAGTGTCGCTGCTTCTGCCGACCGCGTCCAAAGAAGAAGCGGTTCAGCACCTCACTTCTCTTGTTTTCAGATTACAAGGACCTCCAAAGGAGAAACTAGAAAGTTCACATTCACACTCCTCTCACCTTCTGGTCCTTCTATTATGATAATCGACAACACAGTTATATAGAAAAATGGCGGAATTCGAAACTCCTATTAAATTAGTTATGTGGCTTCCTTTAATCAATCAGTTTGAAGAGGGTTGTAACTTGTAAGACGGAAAACTTGCAAGCTCAGAGATGTTGAGCTTGGCTGGATCACTGGGAGTGGAATGATTAACCTGGAAAAGCGGATTCTCGTGGACTAAGGAACTGAATACGAGAATTTAGAGGTTTGGCATCCTATATGAATTTGCTTGTTCAAATGGGTGCCTAGATCTGTTAATAGTATAGCAGCACTACCAAACGCCCTCTAAGACTATAACCATCAAGTTTATCATGTTTGTTATTACGCCCATGCCCAAGGAGGCAAGGACTGACCCAATCTCAAACCAATGAAATCTACCGCTGGCGCTGGGCAATTAAAATCCCTGCTAGGATGTGCACAATTAACTCAATAATCGTAGAGGAAAATTAACCCTTTTTAATAACAAACAAAACCAGTTCATCAGAAAAAAAAAAAAAAAAAACTCGTGCCAGTAATAAAATAGCAATTCATTTTCATATAAAAAAACACATGAATACGATATCATGGTTACGTTCGAGTTCAAATCAGCAGCCCCCTCACAAGATTTTCCCCCTCAACATCCCACAGCACATCCTCGCTATGTATTGGAAATATCTCTCCGATGATGACATTATTATTTCTGACATTATCATCAGGAGATGATCTTAATACATGACAGGGATATGCTGTGGGATGTTGTGAGGGGCAATCTTGTGGGTGGCTGATTTGATCTCGTTACATTCGGTGTAAGAAATCCAGAACGGTGCATCGAAAATAGGTTCAATCAAAAGGTCAAGCTAATGCTATTGGTCAATAAACGATACGAGTCTACCCAACTCACAAAAGTAATACAAATAATTAAAGGGTAAAATATAAAATCCTCGCCCAAGTTTTCTGACAATCATAAAATCCTCTCATATATCTTCTCACTTTAACAAAATTCTTCCTATAGTTTTGAAAAATCATGCATTTAACTCCCTTCTGTCATTGTCCTGTTCGGAAAGTCCAGACCTATTCTACCCTTATATCTATTAATTCATATACACATCATTAAAATACCCTAAAACACTAATCATCTTCTCCAAAAAATTAAGAACTAGAGGTGTCAAGACAACCTAACCGTTCATCCCTCCATCTTTTCATCTCCCTCCCGAGTTTTTACTTGTTTCCCATATCTTGAACCAAGCTTCGGTCCATTTCTTGTGAGCAGCAGCCAAATAGCCGTTGCAAAAACAGCCCAAATTCAATAGGAATTCAGATTCATCATTAATACTCTCCAAGTTTAAATGACAAATCCTGCAATTCGTGTCCTCTTTAACCGTACATCACTTTACAAATCTACCTTGATCGAACAATTTGATGTCGAAGAATTCTCGTACATCACTTAAAATATCTACCTTGATCGAACAGTTTGATGTCGAAGAATTTTGGTGGTGGGCCAAAGTCCCCCAACCTTGAGATCAGACACGTTGGAGAACTTATGCTCTTCATCCAACCCAGCGGTATCGGAACCGAACTGGGAATGCCATGATCTGTCATCAGCGGTATCGAAACTCCCTGCGTTGCTTGTAATGACAAAACAAGCACAGCCTCCTAAATCAAAAGTGAAGAGCTTTTGATTGCCATTTCCACAACCCAAGACCTAAAACTTCATGTAAAAGAAGTCGAGAGCTTGGGACTCTACCTCAAACTTCATGTAACAATGGGACGACGGCGGATGATAAATTCCTATCCCGCATCAAGTATTTACAAATAAAACAGCCAATAAAACGGAATGAATGAAATCCCAATTTCATTTTTATTGACAATTCCCATTTATTTAATTAAAACATGCATTTGCGATACTAGATTATCTTCTAGAAAGTAGAGAAGTCCTATAAAATTAACTCAAGATAGATAGCTTTTGTTCCCGATATTCCTTCTAATTTATCCGAAGTCAAATGTTGCATCATTAATTAATTAGCTACGTAACCATGGAAAATCGAAACAAGTCTTGTAACTGCAGGATGTGAGCGCCAAAGATGGATGATGGATGATGGATGGGGATGGCAGGTTAATTTTAATCCCGAGCACTTGGAGACTCGCTGCCACGTGGAGAACCACGTTGGTCATCATCGTCATCATCATCAACAGGGCTCCTGTCATTCCTGGGACTAGGGCTGCGGCTGCGGCTGTGGCCATTTGTTTCAGGAGGGCTACGGTACCCCCTTCCATTACCATTAGGGCTACTATCCCTGTCGGGGCTCATGGGGCTTCTGCTCCTGGCTCCCCCCCTGGGAGGACTCCCACTATAGTCGTCTGACCCACCGGATCGTATACGGTCCCCCCTGGAGGGAGGGCTTGCCCCATCACCTGGGCCATAGTCCTCGTCATCACGTCGATTGGCTGATTTACGATCCCTTTGAGGCGGAGGACTTGGTCCATCACTAGCGCCATAGTCCTCATCACGTTGATTCTGCTGCTTACGATGATCCCTGGGTGGTGGTGGTGGGCTCGATCTTTCTCGTGGACTGCTCTCGTCAGGTGTTACACTGCGCTTCCTACTTTTGGGTGGAGGACTACTCTTCTTTGGCTTAGGACTCCTGCTGTAACGAGGGCTTCTTGATCTCCTCTCCTCGCGCTCAACACTTCGATCTTTCCTTGGGGGTGATCTAGATCGGCTGGCAAAGGCAACAAAACAAATGACGTAATGTAAAGGCGTTTTAAAATTTAAATGGGAATGTAAACCCACAAGTATTCACAAAAATCACTAATGAGAATTTAAGAAAATGCCGACTTGCAATGCATACCTATTTGCTATTTCAGTCTATGACCACTCTCTCACTCAAGTCAAAAACAGGAATAACTGATTATAGTTAAAATAGGGCACAACGGGGCCAGGAATTTCAGGCCACCAGATGATTGTTTCGTAATGAGCCGCTTTCAGGATCAGCATCATGCTGCACATTATTCCCATACCTCTGAAATCTTCAAGTATGGGCCATGGGTTTTTTCTCTAAAGAAATACTAATTCAGGCTTAGATGGCTTCAAGAATACAAATCAAAACCCCTTGTACAACCTGATAGCTTATCACTTCTATGATACCCTAGTTGATTGATTACAACCTTTTTCTAGTATCACTTTTGGTTTGGAGGGTAAGATAATTAAGTTTTAAAATGTAGTTGCAACAATGACCTTTCTAGTTTCTAATCAACAATGGAAACTCAATAATTAATAACAAACCTGTAACTACGGCTCCTGCTGTAACTCCTGCTTCTACCTCGTCGAGGCGGCGGTGACCTTGATTGTGACCGAGAATAACTTCGCCCTCTTCTATAACAGAAGATGTTCTTTTTTCAGGAAACAAATAGTTTCTAATGATGGAAACATTGCAATTCTATTAATTAAAAATAATAAATACAAAGTATTCAGAAAGTGAGAATACCTGAGGTTCTTTGGACTATTCTTGCAATTTCTTTCTATGTGACCTCTTTCTCCACAACGGTAACACTTGTTTTTCCAGTCTCCAGCTTTGCAATCTCGAGCCCAATGGCCATCAATACCACAATTAAAACAGCGGCCAGACCCCGGAGGAGGACCTCTGCCCAGATACTCACGAGAACCACCTGGGCCACGTGGTCCCTAGATTCATATATAGAATTGTATTACTAAAATGCAATTAAAATTCAATTAATGCTGAATAACATAAACTGTAAATAATTAAAGAAGTCCCATTAAACAACTTAAGATTTAGCAAGAAAGAAACCTGAAAGGGAAACCAATAATTTCAGGCCATTGCAGTAAGAAACATGGAAGCTAGACAACTCCAATTTCAGCCAGGCCTTCACCAGCAATAATGACTAAATTTTTGGATTGGCTATGTACATGTTCAATGTTTTCTACACACCATTAAACTAAAGACACTCTTGACATTTCCACAAAGCTCTCCAAATATAAGTGAGATGATAATACCAAGACAGTTCGATCAATAGTTAAAAAGAAAAAGAGAAGCCTCCAAGCTTATATTGAAGCATTTATTCAGCCAAGAGACAACCAAAAATAACTGCTTGTAGAATCTACAAACTCACCCCCTTTGCAAATTCCACAATGATACGGCTTCCATCAAATTCACGTCCATTTAAGCTGTATCTAGCATCATCAGCATCTCGGGGATCACTAAATTCCTGTGCGCCAAAGTTAAGAACAAGAAACACAAAAAGCTCATACTTGCACAATAAAATACTTGTAGAAAAACTAATGTATATTATTGTGCTAGGGGCAGAAATTGAAGAAAATTTAGAACGAAGAGAACTGAAATACATACAATGAAGGCAAAGTCGTGCTTCAAATCCACATCTCGTACTCTGCGGAAACGGTTGCCATAAACAGTAAGGCCATCATGACTTAAGTACCTAAGGGTCTGATACTTCGCCCCTCAGAGATGAACTAAACACCACTTTGAGATTGTTGCCATTTCCATAAAAACACGCAATAACATTACAGAAAGTATCGCCAAAGTCTCCTATACACTCTGCAAGAATAGCCACCAATTCCACCAAGGGCACCCTCTCACCATAAGACCTCCAGGTTAGGCAAAAGCCCAGAAACCTTCAACAAGATCATTCAAGTTAAAACAGACGACACGTGGGGGCTCAACGTTCTCACGCAGATAAGAGAATGAATAGTGAACGCAAAGCCAAGCACATAAGAGGGCTTGGTAAAGGCCTCGATGTCTTCTAATCACCTTTAAGGGAAACACACCCCATCACCCACACTGTATGACCACTAGTCTAGAACAAATGTCATTAATCATTAATAAAATACTATCAATTCTGGCCTATAATATGTGGCTCTAAGGTACTTCAATCGCCCAAACTCACAGTATCTATAGGTTAATGCAAGATCAAACAAAATCAAGAAGGGAACCGGAGTTGAATCTTTTTTTCGAAAAAAAAAGAGAAAAGGGTATAGAACAAAAGAGACATGCAGATGCAAATATGCACGAAAAACAAGACCCCACGAAGCATTTAGTGATACAGACTAGCATCCATTTTATTGTACGATATGGCAAATATCATTAATTACCTTCCATATTTGTGATACAGACTAGCAACCATTTTATTGTACGATATGGCAAAATTCATTAATTACCTTCCATATTTGCTGAAGAGGTCCTCCAAATCTCGCGTCCGTGTCCTTGAAGACAAGCGACCAACATAGAGGCGGGTGCTACCATAGCGATCATCATGTCGCGGCATCCTGTGCTGCAGCAATCAAGAAAAATTGTTAAAACCTCACATAAACCAAGTGAAAGAAGAAAAATCAAATCAATTGAAATGGAGATGGAAGAACCACATTTGTCACCATGATAAACAGAACCACCTACAACAAGAAATTATGTTTATTAAGCCAATTCAACATAAATCTCGACGATTCAATTCGTGATAATGGCTAATGTTATATATGATATTTCGACCAAACATTACTAAGCACAAGTTCCTCAATTACCTACCAAAATCTACCTTTCCATAAGACCATCATGGTGGCTGCTTGGCAGAAGTTTCATGTGCTATCGGATTATGTTAAGCTACAAGCCTACAAGCATGCCTTGCCTCTTCCTAATGCATGTTGATCTGGCTCAAACCCTTTTAGACAATGGAAAATTGCTTTTTGACTTACTTAGAGGTCTGCTTTCTCCCGAGGGATAATAGCATATTACTAAACCCGAAGCTTTAACAAACCCATAATGACAAAAAAAATTAGGGGAAAAATGGAGAGTGCTTTATATGAATTAGGGTTTCAATCAGCATAACCTACTGAGAGGATGTCCACCATGGAACCAGACTTTACACATGAAGTCCTAAGAAATAAGGCATGCTCTTAAGAATCTCTTTCAGGAAAACCGCCGTTGACCCTGCAATCGAAAAACCGCTAACAAATCCCCGGGGAAGGGGGAGATTAGGTGAATCGAGATGATCGGAGAGAAAATACAGTAATTAGGCACCAAATAAAATCAGATGCGTCGAAGGAACTCTCCGAAAGGAGATCCAGAACCAAAAACCATCCAAATCTATCCGAAATATCAAAGTTGAGAAATCCTCAACCAATCACGCATGCAAAATAGAATTTTATAAAAAAAGAAAATTAGTATCGAACAATCGAACAGACAACAAGGGATGATCACATCCGAGCAAAAATCAAAATTAGAAAGCAAATCCCTAACCTGCACAGCATCCTTCTCACAAAACCAAAATTTTACCGAAGAAGAACACCAATTTCGATTGGGAAGAAGGGCATACCTGAAAATTTCTTAAAAGTCTTCTTTCGGATAAACCCTAAACTTCGTACCGAAGGAAAGGCTGGGGCATTCCCCTCATCGCTCAATTTATAGCACAAAGTGATAGACTTGGACGGTCTAGATTCATTTTCGTAGATCACAACCTTTGCCAGATAACGACAAAATAAGTAAATAACCCCAAAATTCGCATTAAGGTTTCTTATTTATCTTCTCTTTTAATTTAACTTTAATCAAGTGTTTTTTGTAGTTCCGTTCTATCCTACACAAGACACTATCCTGCTGCAACTGCAAGCTGAGCCTTTGATTCTATGGAGTTCCGTTCCCTTCCGGTCCATCATGGTGGGACCGTCTTGATTATGCAGTTACGGATGTTAGATGTGTCATGGGGCCCATAAATGTGATACGGACTAATCACAGGCACCCTTGGTCCCACTTAAAGATCGTGATTTCCAAAAATCGGCCCGATGTTGACGAACCAATCGCCCGATTTGTGAAGTGTGTACATGTCCTTACGATCTTAATTCTTAACAATATGATTTCATTCCACCGTCCAACAGGATTAGATGCGCAATCTGATGAATCAGATTTCTGTATCAGTGGACCCCAATTTGAAATAATCTACCTATCTGATGGACAAATCTCAAGTTGGGGCCCACTGTATATTAAAAATCTCGGATCAGGTCTGATCCGGGTCGGAGTGGATTCAATTTCGAAACTAATCCTCGCAGATCTATCCCATGGGTTTTTCTTTTTTATAAATCATAATACGCTATAATCATTCGGGCTTTTATCGGGTATGGCCCGATTAGACATGTTCATGGGCCAGGCTTCTGCCTCAGCCCATTGAATTTTTCATACTGCTTGGACACAGGCTTTAGGCCGGGTCCATTCGAATTTTAACAGAAGCTAAGCCCTCGTCCGGCCATGTCTAAGCCCGATGGAACCTGGTTATGACTTATGAAGCCTGAATAACATGCCTTTAGCTTCTTAATTTGACAATAAAGCCATTAGAGTTTATTAAAATCAGGTGTACAAATTTATAAAAATTTATAAGATGCAGAAATCAATACAAACCTTTTTTTTGTGGAATATATACAAACCTTAATTACACCTATGAAAATCTGAAAAAAAAAAAAAAACCTTCCTTCTGAGGCCTATGAAGATATAGACTCGGAGCAGTGGTTTGAGGTTGGTTCGATAGGCCTAGACGGTTAGACCATTGACAGCCATAGATGTAATAAAGTGGGTAATGATCTGATCGTCCAATATGTGCATGCCTAAGGAGAACATTGCTATTTCTCATGTGCAAGGTATCGAGAATGCAAGGCATTAAAGGCTGCTCAAATGGATGTTGTCCTGACTGAAGCCAAACTCCAGAGTATCAATACGTATCAACTTTTGGACCTTGCAAAACCTTTTTGGTTTGAAGGAAAAAATAGGGAAAGGAAGGGAAAGTTAGGAAACTTTTACAAACCTTGTATAGATTTCTCTACTTTTTCCTTCAAACCAAACATAGCCTAAATGCTAGGAATTAAGATATATGGCCATGTTCATTGCTTAATACCCTTCTTAGAGATAGGCCATGTTCATTGCTTAATACCCTTCTTAGAGATAGGCCATGTTCAATGCTTCACACCTGAAACCATTCTTACCGGGGAGAGTATCACCCCTTTTGATTTGTGTATTTGCAATTTTTGTATTTCATACATGCCGATATTTTGAACCTTGGTCCTAAATGTGGGGGAGGAGTAAGATTTTTTTTACCATCACTGTGTTGGATTAACTAATTTCATTCGTCGTGTATTTTTATCCATGTTCCTGTTTAACGAAACAAATAAAATAAGATAAGTTTTCTTTTCAAAAAAGAAAATGGTCAGTTGCTGCTAAGAAAAATCATGAAAAAAAAAGAACTACAATAATTAGGAGGATAAATCTATTAACTGATAGTGGCTCAATTGGTAAGTTTTTTGACCAGTTATAGCTAGACCTGTTCATGGGCCGGGCCAGGCCGGGCTCAGGCCGGGCTTTTGCTCTTTATTAACATAAACTTTCAGGCCCGGCCCGACCAACGAGCCTAAAACTTGGGCCCGAGCCTGGCCCTCATAAAAAACCCGAAGCCCGACTTGGGAGTCTGAGCGCCGGTGCCCTCTGAGGATTGAGAGAATGGTGTTGTTGAGTTCGCCGATTCCTGGGAGTCTGAGAGTGAGAATAGAAACCCAGAAAGTGAGAAAATAGAAGATGAAAACAATGCCGGCTAGAGAGAGAGAGAGAAAAAGAGCTCACCGCGAGAGAGATGATCTAGATCTGGTGGTGCTAGCCGCCGGTGCCTGAGTTCGTAGAATGAAAATGGTGCGCCTGGGTTCTAGTGGCGCCGGTTGGAGAGAGAACTGAGAATGAGAAGAAAGAAGATGAAAACGGTGCCAGCTAGAGAGAGAGAGAGAGAGAGAGAGAGAGATGACTAGTTCTAGTGGAGTCGGTCGTCGGTGACTAAGTTCGCAAGTGCAGTTGGGTTCACCGGTTCTGAGAATTGAGAGGGAGAAATGAGAGCCACCACTTCTGAGAGTGAAAGTGAGAAAGGATAATGAAAAGAAAAATTTTAAATATTTAGGGTTAGGGTTAGGTAGTTTAGGAAAAGTCAGGCCGAGCCAGGCTCGGGCCGGGCGTTTTTAACAAATCCCGAGCCTGGCCCGTAAAATAGTCGGACTCGGGCTTTTAGGCCCGAGGTCAAGCCCGCAGGCTAAAACACATGCCCAAGCCTGTCCGAGGGTCGGGCCGGCCCGTCGGGCCACCCGGCCTATGAACAGGTCTAGTTATAGCAGAGACTTGAAATCAAATCCCATTGTGACCAGGATTAGGGGTTATGGGGATGGGGAAGGGCTACCCTTTGTTGTGTAGCCACATGAACAATTATATATATATAGATAGAGAGATGGATAGATAAATAGACCCTAGGCTCAAATTTGATGCCTCAAGGAAGAATGATGGAGGAACTGCCATTGGTTGTATAGCGGGAAATGATGAGGGTGAGAAGTGAGATCTTACAATGAAGGTGTAAACAAGTGGGTAATTGTTCCATCAATACGGTAGAGGCATGGGCTGCCTTAGAAGCCCATGAAATAGCCAAAAAAATTCCAGGTTCAAATATTATCATTGAGGGGGGACTCTAAATTGATCATTGACTGTCTAAGGGGTCGAAATGCAGCTCCATGGAACTTGAAGAATATCATAAAAGAATGCTACACCATATGCAATGCATGCATGTCTTCAGGGAGGCCAACCAAGCTGCTGATTGTCTGGCGAATGCTGGACATGGAGGGAGCAATAGCCTAGTTGATTCAAATATCCGAGAGTTGTCCTACCAGTGTTTTGTTGATGTTTGGGAAAGGGCTACCCTCCAATCTTTGTATTCTTTGTGATTGTTTTTCTTTGTTGTGTCCTTTTTTCCTTCTTTCTTGTAATTTCCTCTTTATAAAAAAAAAAGTAGTGCAAAACCTTGTATTTTGTAGGAATTTGCACTGTACATATTTGCATTAGTAAAGGTTCAAAACATCGTTAAATATTGGCTCGTATCGACCAATACGATAGGGACCTTCCTGATACACCCCTACAGGGGGTGTATTGGGTCAGGCCATGGTTCAAAGGGTAGTTGGGACTTAAATCAGCCCCTCTGTATTGATTTTGAAAAAAAAAAGTATAAACATTGATATAGGTTGATACGACCGATGTATCAGCCTATATCAATATTTAGAACCTTGGCATTAAGGATGTCCATGGTTCAGTAACCGAACCATGGGCATATTTTGCAAACCGAATCGGTGGTACCGATTTTTCCATTTCTCAATACTAAAATCAAACTAGTACCACTAGTTAACCGGTCCACCGATTTCGATTTTTGACTAGTTCGGTTCTTCGGTTTTTTGGTTTTTTATATTTATAATATATATTATATAAATATATGTATAATATTATATTATAAACAATAAATGATATATAATATATTATAAATATTTAAAAAAAATACAATATATAATATATTTATAAATAGATTATTATAAAATAATATAAGTATATATTTATATATAGTATATAGAAAATATGTGACATATATTAAAAATATATATATAATATACATATATTCTAAACTGAAACCGAACTGATCGGTTCGGTTAACCACATTTTACGTTTCGATCTTCTCAAATTGGTTCGATTTTTCATGGACACCCCCTACTTGGCATTAGTACTCTTTCCATGCAGTGGGAAAAATCCTCAATGTAAAAGTCAGTCAATGGGTTTTAAATTGAATGGATCATTAGGGGGATTTTTTATGTGAGGAATGTACAATAAAATTGATGTATCATTTACATTGATTTACGATGGAAAATTCTGCTAGTTAGATGCCGTTTACATCGATTTTCAATGTAAACTTGACATTGGAAACAAATGTATGAAAAAGTGGATCAGGTGTAGAATTTTACATCGATTCACTTTTAGACTAGAAACAAACACGTGTAAATATAAACCAACAGTATATATATATATATATATATTAAAGGAATGTTAAGTGGCAATTTATGAGAAATTACTATTAATCCCACAACCCACTAAATCCCACAACCCACTACTAGAAAGTTAGACACGTGGCAATTTATGAGAAATTCCTACTAAATCCCACAACTCACTACTAGGCTACAACCCCCCCCCCCCCCCACCATTCTGGAAGGCTAGACACATGGCATTTTCTGAGAAATTACTATTAAAACCCACATCCCACTACCACCATTTTCAATCTATTCTTAAAAAAAAACAAAAAACAAAAAATACAAAAGTGGTTATCCACAACCACTTCTGTCTACGTTCTATCAATCTCAATTTATCATTAATCCTCTACGTATCGTAACAAAAGAAAACTATACATATTCTAATAATTATTGAAAAGCTATTTTTTGAAATAAATATTTCTTAAAATTTTAATAATTATTTAAAATATTAATAAATTTAACATTATTGATTCTCCGTACCTAATACGGGGTCATTCACTAGTATAAACATGAAAGAACGATAAACAAATGTATGAAAAAGTGGATCAGCTGTAGAATTTTACACCGGTTCACTTTTAAACTAGAAACAAAGACGTGTAAATTATAAACCAACGGTAGAATTTTACGTTAATTTAGATTTACACCAAAAACAAACTCAGCCTAAAAAAATAAAGGAAATAGGTGGCGGAGAGAAACCCTAAATCACAGGGTTGATGGTGCTTGTACGGAGAGAAGAATCCACATCAAATGCAAATGCAAACTCAAACTCAGAGTTGCAGAAACAAAAAGGGAGAATAATCAATCAGCCCAGATCAAAATTTTATAGCCCCAAAGTACAGGGGAATGCATCGTAACCGTGAATTGATGCCAAATTTACGGGCAAGGTCTATAGGGGGAGAGGGCTAATAATAAGGGGGGCTGGAATTCAAAATTATGCATCGTGTGTATCCGTACTTCTCCGAAACAAAAACTCTCTTCAGTATCTCATTAAACAGCAGGAACCCATAACAAAAGAAACTTTGTTTTTTCTTCTTTTTCTTTGACCCATAACGATTAACGAGATTATATTAATAGATCAGAGATATATGGAAAATACAAGGATAAAAAGCAAGATAGTTTGAAGAGACAAAATGGACACCTGGCAACCCAACATGGCTCATCTCTATTCATCCCTGATCCGGCAAGGACTACCTGCTAGAAAAATAATCAACTAATAGAAAATAACGAAACAAATAAAATACAAAAAAAAAATCTCTGAACATTTTCTAGAATATTCTCTTCATCACCTCCAAGCGAGAGTAGGCATATTCCTGGGTTCATAAAAAATGCCCAGCAGCTTGGCCCCATAAGGGAGAACTTTGAAGCTAAAAGCTAGACTAACTAACCCACCCGGAATGGTACTTCTGGGCTTGCAGTCGATCTGTGGACCATTCCACCATCTTCCTCTAGCTTTTTTTCCTGAAAAGCAAATTTGTGATGTTCTTTAAGCATGATTGTTTCCTCCAGATAATGTGGCACAGTAGTTCTTCAGCCATGAAGATGCTGATCTCAAGACACGAAGCTCGCCTGTGAGGAGATCTAGGGCCATTTTCCTTCGGAGAGCAAGTACACCAACAGAGGAAGCATAAGTAGGACCCAGTGACTGTACATACACGTGATACACACAGAAACATTGGTTAACTTCATTGACCTAGAAAAACTTAGACCGTAAGCATTTTACAATTTGCATGTCAAGAAGTAACCAAAGTAGTAGTTTTTTTTTTTTATAAGTAACCAAAGTTGCAATTGATTTCAATAAATGAGCATTTCATTCTTATTGCTCAAGTCCAAATGGATATGATTAAATTTACAAAATAACAAATAAGCAATGGCTTTCAAGGTTATCAACAAAAAAGAAAAAAAGGTAAAGCAAATGGCCCATCTAAGATTTTTCTCAACATTCCACAGGTGGGATGGATTGTCAATTGTGTGCCAAATCCAGACCATCTATCTTGTAAGGAACCTTATCTTAATTGCCATGATCAAATTATAACCCCGACCCTTTTGGTAGGGAATGCTTTGAGTGCCATAATCACATGTATCATAACCCAGACCCGATTTGGTAGGGAATGCTTACCATTGGATAATAGCAGATAAAAAAACACTCGTTTTCATTTTTAATGAAAAGATTGAGACTTTTCCGACAGATGGAATCATAGGACAAGTTAAGTGCTTTGAGAGCAGCTAAAGCTCTCAGTTGCATGAATGTTTGTCAATTGCATGGGCCATCCACAAAACCATTCCGTCCAATAGCATTAAAAGGCATAATCTTGTTATTTTCAATTTGAGTGTGGTCTGAAGATCTTTTTTTTTTTTTTTTGATAAATTGTGGTCTGAAGATCTTTTTTCCTTCTCATTGGTCATTAGAGTTATTACATAGACTTGCCATGGTACACTTGGAGGGTGCAGTATAGTGGATGGTTTCTTTCTGCATTCAGAAAGAATGAATCACTCCCAAACTTTCATCCTTCTACATATAATAAAATAAGCATATGAACATTTTGAAAACTGGACAACTTGTATCAATAATTTGGCCAATTGTACCCTAAAAGGAGAAAAAGGAAAACTCTCGATAGGCCATACGTAAATCCCGTGCCCAGTTTTTTTGCCTGCTTCTCTAAGACTGCGAAAAAATTTGGGTGATTTCATTAAATCATAGTATTAGGCTACAAATTTTCTTCATCTTATATGAATTTTGAATTGGTACTAACCTTTTTTCACTTTGATAAAAATTCTGAAGGGGTTCCCATAATAAATGAACCAAGTAAACATAGGTCAAATATTTACCTCAATGGATGCACCGTACTCCTGAATCAAGTTGAAAACTTGTAAAAGTAAGAGCTTATGAGCTTCAATTTCCCTACTCCTGTTCTTTAAAGGCCGTCGAGCAAGCCTTCCGTCATTCTGTGCAGCTTCTGTGACCAATTCTTTAAGTTCTGAAGATGAAAGCTTCAATCAAGAACTTGTGTGCTTGAAAGGATATAATTTCCACATCCACCTATTCACCTAACCATGCATGCACACACACACACGATGGGAGGGAGGAAAGAAGCACCTTGAATAGAGGTAGCAGATAAAATACGAGCACATGCACGGAGCGATTGTGGAATTCCTCTCCCTTTCCCTTTAGCAGACCGAACTTCCCTATTTTAAGGTAAACATTTTCAGAAAGAATAACAAACGTGAGAATATAGATAGGAGAAATAATGTCATGCACCTTTATTCTTCTTAACATAAAAGATTTTTACTAAAAATAAAGAAAAAATGAGATCCCCCCTTCCTCTTCATCCTCTTCCCCTTCCTCCTAACCCCCTCCTCTTAAGGAGGCTTACGCCTCTTGCGTTCTTAAGGAGGCTTATGCCTCACGCCTCTAGGTAGTGGAACACCTCGCATCACGCCTCCACGTTTTAAAACACTCCAATTTTTTGGTTCATTCTCAGTCTAATTTTGGGTTTGATTGGGATAAGAGACTATGGACCCTCTGAGAGGGATGTAGAGGTTGAAAATGTCATGAGTCTGGTTCAAGTCTTAGACCGAGTGGTGTTGGATCCCTCTGAGAGGGATAAGAGACTATGGACCCTAACTCCCTCTGGGACCTTCTCTTGTGCCTCCTTCAAGTCTCCCTATTTTCAGGATCAATGGGAGTTGGGGATTCTACAAGGGCTGAGATACTGGCTGCGGTACAAGGAACATAGGTTGTCAACCAACTAGGAGTGGAAAATCTGATAGTTGAATGAAACTCTAAGGTGGTAGTGGGTTGGTTGTCGAGTCCAGAAACAGTTTTCTGGGGCTATAGGGATCTTCTTAAGAAAGTTAATTGGCTCACAAGGAATATGTCAGTCAGCTTTCAGTGGGTTAGCAGATCGGCAAATGCCATGGTTGATTCTTTGGCCAAACAAGGGGTCCCAAGGGTTGAATAATTTTGCGCTACCTTATGATTGTATTCTATTAAGAGTTTGGTTATGCTCTCACCTCTAAGGGGAAGTAACATCTCATGCCTCCTCTTAGGGTGAATGTACACTTCCTTTCTTATTAATAAAATCATTATTCATTTATCAAAAAAAAAAAAGAATGCAGATAGGATCAAAAACTTGTGGGCTGCTCCACATGTATCAAGTAGAGAAATTCCGCATTCTTGGGTCAATGGGTGCACCTTCTGATTCTGAGGCCCAAGGGTCTTCGCACTGGGTTGTCAGTGCATCTTAATGGCATTTTACTACCTTCCTTTAGTTTTGGAAGTATATGCTGCATTTTCAATCTGATGTGGCTTATTACTGTCATTATCCTTGTTAATTTAAAATTAGGTATTAACCCCTCCCTCTACTTATCTATCTTTAAAAATTTATTTAAACAATTACAAAGAAAGTCCAGTAGTGAATTTAACAACAAATGAAATCCAACTCCGTGTTGTTAATAGAAGGGTTTAACATAAATAACAGTAAAGATCTGTTAAGTTAGTACCAACTTGATTGTAAAAGAACAGTTAAAAGAGTTGAGACCATGCCCATCAGTGGGTGTTGGCATACAATATTTATGCAGAAGTTCCAATTTCATCAAATGCAGAGGATCACCTTGGGGAACACTGACACAAATTTGAACCTGACAGTAATTACAGATCATTTGTCAATATTGAGGATGTAATTTGGAGTATATAAAACAAACACTGACAACAAACTTAATTAGAAGATACAATCCAAACAAATGTAGAACATATGAAGAATACCATGTAGTGAACTAAATTAGCTAATCAATGTTGTACCGAGAAAGAAGATGTCAATGTACAGAAAATATGAGAAGGAAATAAAGATAAACCACCAACATTTATCACTTAATGCTCTCTTGTTAAGAGGTCTATAATTTTTTTCATTGAACTCTCAAAATTGAAACAGTTAATGAAAGAAACAAACACTGTGTAACCCAAGTTCTATACTGTTACATCTCTATTACCTTCAGCTAATAGATAGAACTTGTGCACTGAATATAACAGAATGGAGAAACAGGATTCATGTAGCAGACCCCATATAGTTGGGACAATACTTAGATGATGATGATGATGACGAATATAGTGTTATTTTGTACAAATAAGTGCTTGTTTCTACATTATGTAGATTTAACGTCAAGTCTAGAATCCTAATTAAGATTAGTGAAGCCATGGAATGGTGGGGACCATATGGGACTTGTAACAGACTTATGCCCTAAGTTTGACTTCCCTTACTTTTTTATGGTTTTATATTTTTCCCAATTTTCCGCATTTTTAGTCTTTTGCCATTTTTTGCAATATGCTCATTTTAATCTACTTATATTTTGAACCTCTTCATTCCACCACCAAGTTTCTTTAGCACTTTTCCATTTCCCTTTAGATTCTCCCAAGGCATCATTTGCTACTATATCCAGTTTGCCATTTCAAGCCATCATTAGCCTTTCCATCTAAATTCTATTTACTCTCTACTATCAATCTATCTCTAAATTGAGTTAAATTTTTCTCCTTCTAAATTTTCCCAAATAATTCTTGGATACCTATTTTCTTCCCCAAACTCTCTTTTGTTTCCTAATATGCACATCCACTACCACAAATGTATATTGTGTGGTCAAACTTTCCCCTGGAATAACTTTGTAATCCTTACAAATCATTGTTTAATTCTCATAGTGAGAAAAAAGATCTATTTGACTTATATTTGATCCACTTTTAAATGATATTAAGTGTTCATTCTTCTTTTTGAAAAATATGTTTAGAAGTGTCATATCAAAAGCATAATCTCTTATAATACGTGGTAATATAAAGAAAAAAAAAAGTTTAAAAAAGTCCCCCTATGAACAAAGACTGAAGAACAAGAACAGCACATGTCAAATCACCATACATGTTACATATATTTCATATCATTTTGACCATTATAAAAACATACAAACTGACCTGGTCATAAATGTTGTAAGGAAGTGTAAAACCAAAATCCATCAACAATGTAGCATTTGGAAACTTTCCATATCTTATTAGGACCTGAATGTAATAAATGCATCGAGTAAACCTCTAGTACCATGAACTACAAACTGATAAAAGCAAATAACAACAATGACAAAAACAGATAAAATTCTTTCCTAATAATCACATAAAAGCATGGCATGCACAGGTTGATAATGTTTTTATTATGAGAACCAAGAGTGAGCTACTCTTTGGATTTAGAGAGGAGACTAGAAGTAGAAGGGGGGGGGGTACTCTTTATTAGAGACTAGTTGAGCGAGGCTGTTATTGGCTCAAGGGCTCTATGGTGGAAGCAAGGTCACAAGCAACTAGGTTGAAAAGTTGTTCAGATGGGTTCCAAGGTCTGTCAACACCCTAAGTGATAGTCCAGCTACAAGAAGGGTATAGAGTGACTTGAAATCAGGGAGTGGCATGTCAGGGTAACAATTATTGTAGTTGTTTGTAGAGTGGATTGTCAGCCATAATAGCTGCTGTTTAGTCCTTCCATTGATAGGGGAGGAAGGTCATTCTCTCTTTTACAATCTTTTGAATCTGTTATGCATTAATAAATGCATTAGATATTGTTTTGGATGAAAGAAAAGGGCATGATATGCAGGACGGATAATTGTTTTGAATTTTTCTAGACTTTACAGAGTAATAAATTTGAAACTTTTGTATAGTATTTAAATTTGAAGAAATACACTATACTAACCACTTTTTCATTTATCTCCTCATATCAAGTATTGTTTGTGTGTCACAAGTTCTCTAAAGGATAAGATGTGAATTTCTTCTTGTTTTGGGCTATCGTCACTCCTGGTTGTCATTCTCAAAGACTTCTAAGGAACCCCCTTATAATTTGTTTTTGTGATGATGTTCTACCAATGTACATTCTCAGGGTACAGAATCTTATGTACAGTAATGTCAGTCCATTTTAAGCAATGACTACCATACTTTACCTTTTACAAAGAAAAATATTTTATCGAATATTATATTACTTTTATAATTCATTACAGGAAATACCCATGTACCGAAATTGAAGACAGAAAACATGAGAGCTGGATTACATCTTCGATATTGTAATGTTTGAACAGTTAAAGAGGAATCCAGTTAACCCACAAGCAAGATATTTGCAAACCGAAAGTGGGAACTAGATGCTATGGGGCCTTGGACATGCAGACCTAGATTGAGTTCTACTATTAAATGGGCCCCTTCTAGGAATTATGATTACATGGAACTTTTACTCTTTGGAGGGATGCCAATCAGGCATCCAACTTCCATGACTCTTATAATATGTGAAATTCATAAGTGCTTCCATACCCTTGCCATTCTTGCCTGTATTGTGTACTGTTGTGAAGAGACATATAGATCAAATTCTAAATCATCTATTATCAAGTTTTTTTCTGTTCAAAGAAGTCGATAGTTTTTCTGATCAAAAGAATAAAGAAATATTTCTTCAAGGTCCACCAAGTATTTTCCAATATTGCAATTTGCAGACAGAAAATACCATCCAATTTCACAACAACAAAGTGTCATTTCTGAAATAGGAAGATAAAACTGCCATTCTCAAAAACAAGGTGCTATTATTTAAAGGAGAACAAGAAATATTCAAATAAGTTGTGCCTGACCTCTTCACCAGGAGCATAATCCCGATCAGCAATAACCTGCACACACAGTAACAGTGTACAAGGGGAAGAAAATTTAGTGAAACTAGAAGTGGATGTGCCCACAATCTCTAAAAAGTCCATCCCCTATGGCATGCGAAGACATGTTAGACAATGCAATCAATTGATAAGAATTTCCATTCACATGAGAGATATTTGAAATTTCCTTATCCTGGGAGGCCGTGGATGGTTGAGACTGTCATAATATCACTCGGCAATGCTCTTAAGTAGCAATTTTATAATTTTTGGGTTGACTCCTCTAAATATAGATTTTTTCTTCTTAGTGTGTCAATGGGTTTCTTAGGACGTCTTATCATGTAGGTCCCACTTAAGACAATTCTTTTATTGAAATTGTAGGTTTGTCGCTTTTCTTTTAGCCAATTTTTAAGGACCAAAACTTTTCTCTTTTTAATAACTATCCAATGAGACCAAGATCTCATAAACCAAACATATTTTGAAAGGATTGTAATCATTTTAGTGAAAATAGACAGTGTCTCTAAGGGCTAGTGAACCCCTCTCTTACATAAATAAGTATTTGTAATGCCATCAGAAAATAGACTGATTAATTTATCCAATAATAATTGAATTTTAGATTCAAGAGTTGGTGTCCTTGAAATGCTTTCTATTTTTTCTTATTGCTTCTTCTTAGGTAAAGTCTAAACTTTATTACTCGTTTCTTGCAGTCAGATTTAATTTCTCTGTATTATTTCTTGGATCTTGGACTGTTCTTGTTATATCTTGATTTAGTTCTTGATTTCTTGCATTTTTATTGGATTTTCTTGCCTATCTTGCGATCTTCTAGAATCTCCTTGAATCTTTCTTGATTTCTTACAATTATTCCTATAAAATTCTTCTTTCTTGAAGAAATTCTTGCTTGTTGAATTTGATACCTATTTTGCTTCTGTACCATTGAATCTTGCATCCACATTTGACACTCAAGATTGTCCCGAAGGTAAAAAAAGAGGTATTCTTTTATCACTAGGATGAATAGCCCCATAGGTCCATAGCTATGATAGGGGACTCACCTTTCTTTTGAAGAGTAATAATAAAAATTTTATTAATAGAAAAAAGGTTACAAAAAGGATGTGACAAGATGTCACCTTGACAAGACACAGCAGCTAACAACTAGTCAAAATACATAATAATGACTGTTACAATTCTGGATTTCAAGTACATTCCAAAAATTCTCCCCCAAATTTGATCTACTAATCAGATCAAACTCACCAGAACCCACTCCGAGACAAAATGACCTACTGAGGCCACCAACACCTCAATATTTTGGATTTGTCTTCAAACAGTCGCCTGTTCCTCGACAAAACACTAACACCTCAGGAATGCTATTTCTCTTAATTAGGGTCATTCCCATTTCCCACAACCCTAAAGCTGCCCTAAACCTGTGTGGAAGTTACCCTATGGTTGATGCCCAAGGTCTTTATTAGTTTTTTTATTACATAATCCACAAATCATTCTAGGGGCAATTGACCAAACCCCAAAACCCAATCCTAGAAATCCCACCTCTCCCTTGTGTCACTAATACTGCTACTTTTATGTCACCAACTGATGTTAAAAAGAAGAAAGAAAAAGAAAAACTAACAACAAATAAAGCATACCTCTGAGGTTTGTTTGTCTTCATCACTTAACAGCAGTGCCTCTGAAACCCCATCATGATTCAAAAAATCCGCAAAAGGAACCTACAAGTTTTCTGTGACTTAGTAATTACTAGGCAAAAGGTCCCATCAGATGTTATCTTTTTGGATGTAGGTGGACTGTGCAACTGCAGATTGGTGGACTCTTCAACCCAACTGCCTTTAGGTGGTCTAAGAGGAGAGGAAGAGTGTTGTGGAGATATGTTAGGGATGCTTTGGCATGGACGGTTTGGGAGGAAAGAAATGGTATCATTTGGGAGGAAAGGGATGAGGCTACTTACTGTTTGGGAGTGCATTTTGAACAGTACTATCATTTGGGCCAAAGCATTGGATCTTTTTTGAGAAACTGGGAATTGGTTGCAAAATCTTCTTTGGTCAAGAACAATCCTATAGCAGATTGGAAGCCCCGTGAAGAAGGCTTTATCAAGCTAAACTTTGATGGTAGCAGCCTCAGTAATCCTGGGTCTTCTGGTATTGGAGGAGTTTTTAGAAATGCAAAGGATCAGATTGTTGCCTTTTTCTGGTCCAATTGAAGTGGGGGATGCGGTAAGTACAGAGGTTCAAGCAGTTCTACGGGAAGCACAGATTACTAGAGGGCCGAACTGTGGGAGGTTGCTAATGTGATTCTAAACTGGTAGTTGGGTGGTTGAAGGAGCCGAAGACTGTAGCTTGGTCCTTTAGGGGGGCAATGAGAAGATTCAAGTGGCTAACTTCCAACATATTAGTGAGAGTTCAATGGGAGAAGAGATCAGCTATGGGCTGGCAGACTTTCCAGCTAAGCAAGGGTGCATAGGGATCATTTATTCTGGGCTCATTTGTAATCTTGTTTTGTTTTTGAGGCTGCAGCTCGTGCCTCTTTATGGATATTTTATGTTGTATCCTCCAATAGTTCTATTTCAATCTTTAATAAAATGCTTGTTATTACTTATCAAAAAAAAAAACAGATGTTATCTTTTGCTGCCAATTGAATATATATGAAACAGCACATGAATGATAAATATACAATTACAAGAAGAATACCAGAGATAAGCCCTTTGAACTTCCCCATGCACGAGATCCAACTGGAAGGTTAGCAGATAATTAATCAAAATAAATTACTAAATCAGGATTCATTCATGCAATAAGTGCACATTAGTATCATCTCACTAACATATCTACAATAAAAACCAAATGAACAAAATACATTGCACTATGGAATTTAGGCATCACAAATTAAAAAATGGCTTTATAGTCAACTGTTAAAGGGTCAGACCTAATCACGAAAAACAGAGGAGGGACATCAATAGGAGAATACTAAATACAGATATCAAAGTTTGTCTAGTTCGTTACATCAACTGTAAGAGAAAAATGAGTGCACCAACTGAATCCAAATGCACAGCCTATATAAAACAAAACTAGTTAACTTAAGTACAGCCCCTAAGGAACAAACATAAATGGAAAAAGTTTATGATCCAATCAAACACAAATAAACAGATCCTCTGAGCTTTAAGAACTGCTATGATGAACTTTGCAATGTTAGTGTGAAACTGTGAATAATTCGATTAGCACTAGTTCAGTCCTATGTCTGAGATAAGTAAGAAGGAAGGAAGAAGAAGAAGAGAAAGAAGAGAGGAGAAGAAGAAACGGTTCGGTCTGAGAAGAGGAAAAGTCAATCCCTCTCAGCCAACCCACCTTATATTTATACTCTTTGTATTAGATTACAAAAGACAAATCTGTCCCTCATTAAGTATGGGACACACAACTTAAACCCAGAAAAAATAGACAATTCAACCTTAATTAAATAGACAAATGACCAAACTACCCTTGTACTGTCGATTCTAACAGTTAGAAAGGAGTCTACAATCTCAAGCTCTGTTAACTGGTACAAAAAGTTCAATTTTACTGTTCAGCCAAGGTATTTACCAATTACACGTTCACCAGGGTGAATATTCTCACCATGAAGAGAGGTTTCATGAGCTTGGTCTTGGCTTCTACTCAGCACCTCAAGCACAACTGACCAATTTCATTTGATGCAATTAATGAGGTTTCAGAAATGTTAGATGAGGTTCAGTGGCAAGGCCAACTTCTAAGAAAATTTATTACACTGCCCATAAAAGTGGTTCATTGAAGATTATTTGGTCAAAGACATGATTTGCAGGAGTTGACTCAAAGTTGGTCAATTGAGTTATTAAAGAATGAGGCTGCAGAAAAAGGCGGGATTCTACTAAGAACGCTTTTCAGATTTTCATTATGCAATAAAATTTGGGAGCCCATTTTCAAGAGATCTAATGAGCAATGAAATCTAATTACTTCTTTTAAATGATAACAAAGATTTTTATAGGAAACAGTAACTTTCATTAAATTAACTTAATAGTAAGAATACATTGGTTCAGTCCCTAGATTTAAGGAACCAAACTCCCAAAAGAGTTCAGTATAACAACTCAGCCCAGAATAATTCTCCCCTGTTTACCCTTGTTTGGCTAATGTATCAGATAAACCATTTACTGACCTTCTAACCCATCTAACAAGTAGACCAATCTCTCTTGAAAGTCTTCTGATCTCCCTCATGGTTAGAAAATTATTCCAAACAAAATGTAATTTATAAAGTATGACACCTTTTTGATGGATTAATGAAGTATGACATCAAAGGGAAAAGGAAAGAAAGAAAGAAAGATTTTTTTTTTTTTTGATGAAAAAGATTATTAACAATCAGGTCATATCAAATTGCTTACCTATAGCATGTGCGTGCATGAAATCTTTAAGTGTAATATCTTCAAAAAATTCTGGGAAGTGATCAAGAGCCTGGAATCATAAGAAACACAATTATTATATCAGTGTAATTAAAATTTTTCTTTTGGAAAAAGAAGTCAGCAGAGACTATAGATATTATATGGAAAATTCCCAATCCCAAGTGAAGAAGAGATGAACACTAATGTGGTGTTTGGAACCTTGGTGTTGCATCAGTGCTGCATTCCCACTTAAATTCCAGCTAGGTACCACGTAGGCATTTTGGTTTTGCCTTCCAAAAATCCTGTTTGGTTGGGCAGAATCAAGTACAAATGTTTGTACTACTCTTTGCATAGAGTTATGTGCATGGAGGTGTTGGGAAGAGCTTCAAAAAGATATTTAGTAAAGGGGCATTTCCACTCCAGGTGTCCTGTGTGGAACCTAGTGGTGCTTATGTGTTTAAAAGTGCAATAAATTATATGTATTAGATTATGTACCAAAACATCTCACTCTCCCAAATTTTGATGCAAAATATCAAGTGAAAACACTTAGACTTAAAAACGCAATGTAAGCTTAGTGATGTGATATTTCTCAAGAGACCTTTTTTCTTGCAAAGTTGAGGAAAATGTTTAATGGCATTCATCATGATTAGACAGGTTAGTTCAAAATCCTTGTTTGAACAGCAACATGATCAAAAAATAATTAATAAATAACAAGAAAGATATATTGCCTACACCCTAACTAGCAGATAAGGAGATTATGGTTTTCATGCTGACTGGATCAGACAGTACCAAACCAAATTACAATAATCAGAGAAGACTGGCCCAGCTGCCTTCCCACCACCCCCAATAGAAAAGAGCCATCCCCACCCCCTCTCTTGCTAAACTGTAGTGTTATCGGTATCACATGGACACCCCACCTTTGGAGATGTCTGACTCTCCAAAATACATGTCTGACTCAGCTATAGTGTGGACTAGGCAAATTTACCAAAATGATCACCATGTTGACTCTCCAAAATAACAAATTCTCACTTTAAATGCCTCTATGTAGTGATGATCCAACCATTTGAACTGTTCAATAGGAGACTCCGGTATTTTGTATATTCCAAATTTACACAACTTATGACCCATTGTTCATTGGATATTTTCTAGTTAACACTGAAATTAGGAAAACAATGAAAAACAATTAGTGTGGCCACATGGCAGATAGGCGAAGGCTGTGATTTTAATTCATCAATTGGAAATTGTAATTTAACTCTTTAAGTTATTACTTTCACATAGTTCTATGAGTTTTAAGAATAATATTAAAAATTGTAATATTTAATATATATATATATATATATATATATATATATATATAAGTTCAGCAAATTACATTGGTTGAAGAGTGTTGCATGGATGTGAGATTGGGAATTGGAATATGACGTGTTCATGAGTCTGACTTGGTGAATCCAAAAAACTAGGATTCTTTTACGCATCTTACATGAACAATATTTTATTATATGAGAAAATCCTTGAACACCGTCAAACAGGTTCTTGCTCAAAGAAACCCAAGGGATCCTAGTCCCTGAGGCTCATGAGGAATGGAAATAAAAAAATATGTCATTTTGATGGAGGACATGTACAGATTCCAACAACTTCTAAATCTAGTGGTGAGTTTTATAGGATATAGGTGAAGCAAGAAAAAGCTGGCTATCCACCAAACAATAGGCAGGAAATTAGGAAGAAAGAGAAGTCTTGCAGTTAGAGCTAAAACAAAGGGATAGAGCACTTAGAAGAAGAAGTTGTTTTCACTGAACTAATGTTCTCTTCATGAATAAACTCTTCTAATTTTCAATAAAAATGACTAAATTTGTATAAGGGCTCGGGCCAGCCTCTACAAAACTAATTGCTCAATTAATTTATACAGTTCAAGAAAATGTTGCATATTCTGGGAAGGGTAAAGTTGTTTCTTGATTTAGGAGATCAATATTAACATTGCAATTTCTAGAAGACTCACCAGGAAAACTTAATGATTCAGTTTACTTGAACCCTTAAGCGTTATAAAATTGGTAGAGTGATTTGTCTTATGCCTCTAAACCATCTAGGATTATGATCCACCACGATTGGGATATGGTAAACAGCATAATGAATATAAGCATTTAAGATAAAGGATAGGAGGAAATTACATACTGGTCTAACTGACAAATATTCTTTCTCAATTTGAGCTTGTTGATTGATAGTTTCCTGATAGACTGCACTTTTTTTAACCATCTCCAGATCATCCTTAGTCCAAAATATCTGGAAACATAGACTGAAAAGTTAGATATTCATTGAATATATTATTCAAAACCAATATAAAGATAATGCTCAAGGCCTAATACAGTGACATCAAGGAGCTGAACTAATAATATTGATAATGATGACAATTACAGTTATAGTTCACTGTACTTAAATCAAAGAACTGACTCATGGTCATCACCATGCCAACAGACATTTGTCAGGATGTTACAAGTTATAGCTCTCTGTGCATCAGTCTACACTGTAGTTATAGAAATGGTCCTTTCACAAGAAAAGGGAAAAAATAAGTACAAGTCAGGAATCTTGATGTCAATTTTCCTTCCTAGCTCAATGAGTAAATAAATATAAACCAGTTTCACCAAACCTATAACCACCTTTCCTCTTTCAATCTAGATGTTTCTCCCTAAATAAATTCCATCAATTTGATTAATTTCATTATTATTATTGATCCTTTTCTTGATTAGTTAATGACTTAATGCATTGCACCTCAACCATGACATTACATATAAGTTCCAGCCTACCCATAGTACTAGAAAAGATGCCACTTGGCATCTGAGACTCCTAATATTCATCTCTTCTGGTTTTTTTATAGTAAAATAAAAAGGAAATCATTAAAAGAAAAAGATAAATAAGCAATACACAACATAGTGGCCCCAGCAAAACAACAACAACAATAAAAACACCAACAAGTTCAAATGCCAAATAACCAAAAACAAAAAAAACAAAGACAACCCCCAAAGCAACACTTCTACCTTCACTCCACTCCAGGACATCCTTCTTTTGCAATGCCTTAAGAAAAACAGACCCCAAACAATTGAAACATCAGAGAATACAAAAAAGACACAAACAAGTCAAGGCACAAGCTAAGGAATCACAAAACAAAAACAGAACTCATAGCCCAACACCAACAAGTTCAAATGCCAAATAACCAAAAACAAAAAAAACAAAGACAACCCCCAAAGCAACACTTCTACCTTCACTCCACTCCAGGACATCCTTCTTTTGCAATGCCTYAAGAAAAACAGACCCMAAACAATTGAAACATCAGAGAATACAAAAAAGACACAAACAAGTCAAGGCACAAGCTAAGGAATCACCAAACAAAAACAGAACTCATAGCCCTTTAACTGCTACTTACACTAGCTTAAAACCATCCTCCCACCATAAGTATGAACTTTTTAATAAGTAAAACCTAATTTTATTAATCCTTAACTGAAAACATTACAATCAATAGAAGCATCCCTTGGAGAGGCATGAGATGCTACCTCTCCCAAGAAAATCACATATTACAATTGAGCCCAATACAAGCTATTTCTATTCACCCCTTGCTAGCTAAAGCATCATCCATTTCATTAGCCGATATTCTCACCCACTGTATCCTCACAATCAAATTTCTAGTGAGCCATTTAAATTTCTTGATCCCATCCCTAAAGCACCAAATTATAGAATCTGGTTCTGTCAACCATCCCATCACCAGTTTTGAGTTCCCTTCAATCACCAAATTTAAGAAGTTCAACTCACTGGCAATCTGTGTTCCTGTATTGCATCCAACAATTCAGCTCTGGCAAAATCGCCATTCCCACTGGGCCTGAGAATAAAGCAAATAAGCAATAACATTAACTTCTATATTTCTCATTGCCCCTTCTATACTTGATTATAAGTTTATGACCAACTTATTGAATCAATTCTTGATCTTAACAATCTTGGTACTCAGGATAGAAGAGAAAGCACCACAGCAACCAGCAAGATTCTGTTTATGGAAAACACAAATAACTAATTTTACCATCCCATTCCATGTTTCATAAACCATTGGTTCTCTTCTTATTTTCTTTTAGATTCAGTAATGATGAGAAGTTATCTGATGAACATAGTCATTTTCCAGTGGCAGTGCTCCATATTTCATCTTCTATGGTTAGTTTTAACTTTTTAATTATATGTGATATTTGAGGTAAATGCTTCTGGTGAGTTTATATGGGTAAACAATGTAAAGCACCATCAATGTCTTTGACAGTTTATTAAGGTTTAGTCAATCAAGTGCAAGTTCAATGATAAATATATGTTTTCATAATGGTGTCTAAGACTGGAAGGCTCCATAAAATTTGACCCATTCAATTCATGAAAGAGAAGAGCTTCTGTAAAGCAAACCAGTCTTATATAACCAGAATGCATATCTAAATCTTTGGAGTCAAAAAGTTGACCATTTATATGTTCATGCACCATAAATGCTACTTGGTGAAGCCCAATTGTGGCTTAAATGGTTATTAACCCCTTGGTAATTGCAATGGATTTTTATAAATGGTAAGATAAGATTTCATTGATGAACAAAGGGAGAGGTTCCCTAAATAAAATAAAATGAGCAAAGGCCCAAAAAGCTGAAAGGCACCACAAAAACAAAACAATAGTTACATCAATAAACCTTCATTGCACAACAAAAGCAGGATTACAAATAAAGACTGTTCCACAGACTAGAATACAGCTCTTCCTTAATAGCATTGAATTGTTTAAGGATCCACACCCATCTTACCAGACACTTTCTCAATTTTGCCTGTCAAAGATTCTGCTTTGACTTGACTCAAAGATTCTGCTATTATGTTCTTCTCTTATTATCCAGAATGAGATGGACAGTTAGCATCATGGGGAAAATTTTAGCAGCCAATCAGTCTAACATTTACATGGGTAAATGTAGTAGAAGGTCAAGACTGTAATCAGTCTTGAATCCTAATAGGTTTTAGGTTTGCAAAACAGAAGAAAAGTGAGAGAAAGGAGAGAGAATAGAAGAGAAACAAGATAACACAAGTTGTTGAAAGGAGGGACAGATTCTAAACT